TATTTTGCTCCTTATTTCGTTAATTACTTAGCCTACATTAAAAAATGCATAAAATGAAAATGGCATATCGTTGTGATATATACTTCAGACTATAAATCCCCCGTACTAAGAGTCCAAACTAAGAAAGTAATTAATTCCCGAAGATCAGAGCCATTATTTAAAAACTTATATTCACTCAGCGTGTCAGGAAGTTGTCCGTCTTTTATGGAATAGAAAGGCTACAACAGTTTTTAATATTTACTTTAATATTATCCTCTATGAATTATGGTATCTAGTCTTCTCCACAAATTTACCTAGGACTAATTTGAATAAATTAAACAACAAAGTCTACAACTATAACTGAAAATATTTAGGAGTGTTTAATTACATTCGATTGTTACCTACATTCTTCTAAGGTGATGACACAAAATATACGATGGGTGGGGCACGTAGCACGCTTGGCAAATATGAGGAATGCACATAGAATTTCAGTGTGAAATCCTGAAGTTAAGAAGCCACATACAGACCCAAGTACAAACACACGCTTATAGGATAGGGTATGAGAGTGCGGACTGTATTTACCTGAATCAGAACAGTGACTAGTGACCGAATATTGTGAAATCAATTTTTGGGTCAGATGAAAGGCATGGAATTTCTTGACTAACTGTGCGACTATTAGCTACTCGAGGACTATGTGTCATGGAGGTTGTTGCTTGTTCCTATTCAGTACTTATGGAAATAATACTGTTTCAACATCATAATAAATATTAATGCTTAACGAACAAGCCCGCTACAGACCAAGCACATTTACGTCACATCCAACAAGGCCTCGAGAGACATTGAAAATGTATCCAGACAGCCTGACATCAATACCATCAAACACGGTCGTAATATTAAAAGAACGGAATGAAGTCTATGTGAAAATTTTTCTTGTACAAGGATTCTATACCATAACAAATCGTACAATTACAGCTTCTTAACCACTTTCATGCGGCTTTATCCAGCTGTTCAAGCGGACCGTAATAAAGACGATCTACTGTTACTTTTAAGTTGCCGACTTTCTATACGTACTTTGGCCTGGTCACCATCAGACAATTAGGTACTACTGGAGTTTCATACAACAGTCTCACATCTAGCCCAATCTGTCCACTTCAACAGATACAACAAATAAACCTCCTTCTCGTTAACACAGTTGCCTTAACTTAAGAAATACTGTTTTTCCATAAATTCCATTAGATTTCATACGCTATAGCCACAAAAATTGGATCAGAGATCATTCTTCTTTTACGCATTCTATTCTCGGAGCAGCTACGTTAAACGTAAGAATATCACCACTCTACTCAAAAAGACATTTTCGGTGCTGCCAACATGACTTGAGGTAAAGGAAAACTGCCCTTACTTTCCGACTTTTCCTTGTAGTGCATTCCACACACTGTACACAACTTCAATCGCCACGAATGGAATACCAGTGTCAAGTGAAAGGGAGAAAAGGAATCACCTCAATTTCTCTCTCTCTCTCTCTCTCTCTCGGAGCATTTTACGGCTTTTCTAATTTTAAAGATAACAGTCTTCTGGATGCTGCATCATGTAGTCTGGTACATGTTCACCGACGTTTCAGAGGAATTTGTTCCCTTCATAATCATCATCACCCTGACGACAGAGACGATAAGCGCCTCTGAAACGTCGGTCAACATCTACCAGACTACATGATGCAGCATCCCAGAAGACTCGGCAATGTGAGAACCTCAAATCTCGCCTTTCCAGATTTTGCCGTAACATTTCATCATCTGCCAGGATTATCGGCCTAGCTGAAGGCTAGCGGCAAAGAGGGGAAGAGTGACGCAAGTGACCAGTCTGGCAAACTGCAGTGAGTAGGCTCACTGGCAATGACAGAGAACAGAAACATTTTTTCCTCAGCCTAGACGAAATTGGAACCTGCAATAGTGCAAAGCTTTAACAGTGTTGTTCATCGCACATCTTTTTGGAAGAGTTGACCAAACAGCTGTTGTACAATAAAATGAAGAAGGCCAGAGAAAGTTTCTACGTTTTGGTGTACATCTTAATTATTATTTTCCTCAGTTCTCGTTAATTATGTTAGTTTTTCTCACTCTGGCCTTCCTGTTTGTTCTACTTTGCGTGTTACGTGACATAGCATTTCGTCAGACTGATGATCTTTAATGTGGAAATATTCATTGCGCTGACGTATGCGGATTTTAATGACAATTGCAAGTTGAATCCATTGCTTATAAACACTTCGTGCTTCTAACTGAAAATACATTGTTTACGCAAGTTACATTTCGTTCCTTGGAGGCATACTATGAGCTGTGTACAATGTTCAGCTAGATAAAAAATTACGAGACTGAAAATCGGCTTTGCATCCACAGCAGTTAAGGTGAAGGAAAAGTCAGGTTTATCAGCTCCTACAGTCAAAAGTTTCCTCCCCTGGCCGTAACCAGAATATCAGCGGAGTTTCCGTATATTTTGGCGGAACTATTTTCATTGTTTTCATCTGTTCTCCAAAAGAATACCGGACGGTACTTTCAAATAATACTGAAGAAGAAAACATGTATTTCTCCGAAACGCTGGTACCTACCTACGAGTCGATACGGCGTAACAACCCAGAAAAACATCTTTACAGCCGTGGGATCCTCAAATGTCACAAAAACACACACACCCACATTTTTTGTCTGCCCGTCTTCTTTCAAATAGTTCCCTACATCATCACACGCTGTAATATTCCCATCTCATTCAATACATTCTTGGTGCTCGGTAACAAGGATTTATGTGAAAGGTAATCTGCTGTATTATCCCACACTAAAGATATATTCTCTGCGTTTGAAACAATGTCGTTGAATAACCAAATAATTGATCACGATAAATGTGCTGAGAATGAATTTCCAGGCCAGTAAAACCCATAATACCACCATAATGTCGAAATGTGTCAGATAAAACAAAGAGATATTTTAAATTCGTCTCGACAACCAAAATAATATCTCGTGTCATTCACGTTGGCTGAATGAAGTGATGATTCTAATTAGACATATTTAAATAACGGTTATAGGTGCGTGTTTTGAAGGTCATCCACCTTACACAAGCATGTCAGATTAACTCCTCCTTCACAATGGATTTAGTCACTCAGAACAAGTTGTGTACGAACCTTCCTTTATAAGCCAAGCTGTAAATTGTTGCATACAAACTAGGTTTCAAAACCGCAAGGAAAAATACAACTTCGGAGACAGACGTAGATAGGAAGATGACATTGAAGTGGATATTCTAGAACCCGACGGTAAGATGTGAACGGGATTTAAATGGCTTAGGATGACAGTGACCTTCGAGTTCCACAGGACTCGAAACCTCTCAACAACAAGGATGAACGACGTTTTGCTCAGGAAAGGCCAACTACTATAGATTTAATATGATTACCAAGATAAGCCTAAAAATAAAAATTAACGTATTTGTGTGCGAAGTACCAACTTTAAATAACAGGTATCACCCAAAATTCATAATTCATATCTTGTAGAGAGCCTGCTTCCATATCAAAAGACGCCATAATCAGGTAGCGAAGGAGTTTGGAGACGCTGCAACCAGCCAGACACGGTTGTGGTCTTTGGGTTGTAACGCTGTTTAATCTGCCAGGTGGTAGGAATTCCAAAGGTTCGACGAAACTTATCACCTTTGTTCAACAACGTAAACGGAAGTTATATACATTTCTCCTAAACTATTATAAGATTTACAGCAACTACAAGGTTTCACAACTCACAAGATCACCGGCAGAAACTTCAGGAGTCACTTTTTCGACTTGGCCTAAGACGACATGGTAAAAATAAAAATGTCAGTATCGTATTAAATGGTTTGCCATAATCCATTCTGACAATCTACATATTGCACGTATTTAAAAGTGCAATAGGAAGGTCAAGTAATCAAAGGAAAACCAGTTCTTGAACCTGCTTACTAGCCAGCTTTCTATCATGACTTCAGATCCGTTTGACCACTGATTCGGGCAACCATGCGACTGAATCTTATGTACTTTACGTATGTGCGGGTAATTAATTATTAAATTTCTGAACCCCAGTGTGTAAAATGAGAACATATATTAAAACCGAGAAATTCGGCTCAGCGGTAACGCGTTGACTATCATTCGGGAAGTTCACAGCTGGAATTCTGTGGCCGTTTAAATTTTTTCTTCATTATTCCGGGGTTGTACAGGAATATTACTTAGAAATAGGCCACAACAACTTCTCAAAATATTTTCCAATTGAGTGTACATTATCGTATTCTCATCTCATTCGACGCTAGATAACCTTCCATGACAGAAACACCCCCTTAAATATATCATAACGCATACCCTGGAATGCGATTTGAAGATTAGTCGAACATGGGAAGACTTCGAAAATATGTGGTCTGTAGCCTATTTTGAAGGTTGGCACAATACTATGAGCAGTTAATTAATTATACCACTGTTGTTCACACGATGTTTTCATTTAATTATTATATTTACAGACGTCTGTAGTTGCACTGGCGAAGTTAAAACAAATATTTTAGCCCTGGCAATTTAACACATCTTTACACTATTCAAAGAGCCCCAAATTTGGTCCTCGGTTATTTTCGTTTTGTACAATTTAATTTACATCGCGTTTGGCTCTAATAAGCATGAATACAACACAAGTTCTCAAGACGTTTAGCGGTACATTAAGGCACAAACACATGCCCCCAGTGCAGTAAGACTTTTCCGTAAGCATACTATTTTGTCGCGTGTAGTAAGTACATAAAATCACCATTCTCAACCACAATTTTTAATCTGCGAAGGAGATTCTCATACGCGTAGATCGGAAATACACGTCAGACACGTTAATGCTGAACAAACCGGCTCAGCTGTATGTGGCATTGAGTAGTGAATGGATCAGAAAACATGTTGTTATCATAAAGACTACATTTCCCTTGTTATCAACAAGGTAACAGTGCTAATGACAGCCGTCTTCTAATGACTTCTGATAAAATGATACACAGGAATAACGTCTTACCTGGACAAAGTCCCTTTCAGAAGTGGGTTTGCTGGACCGTCGTAATATCCGCCCATCATCTTTCTTGAGTAATCCAATCAAATCCAGGGTTTAATAAATACACACATCATTATCATCACCACACTTCAGGCACGCCGTTACACCATTCACCAGGTGATCGCATCATTCTGCACTGATCTATTAACAGAGGGCTGAATTACCGACAATGACTCCAATGCAGCAGCGGCATCATCAGGTGATGGACATACCCACCATCACACTAATCACCACAGGCAATAATCTCATATTGTGTAAATCCACAACTTCACTGAACAAGGCAATGTAACACCTACAGAAGCACAAACATGTATCACTTTGTTTTCGGCACACATCATTTCATGTTGGCGTTTTCATCACGTTACACTCTGCCGAGATAACAAAACAAAAATTCGTGCACACTGACGTGATGGCACGCAGTCGACTTGCTTTATCGAAGCTACGAGCGTGATTGTTCTACATTTTCGAAGAAGGTCGACAAAAATAACACATGAAAATCGTAGTCACAATTTAATTAGAACCACCACTTTTTGGAGACATGAATATGTTCTTTTCACATTAAACGAAGAGTGGCATATATTAGCCATTCATCACAGAAGGTACTTGGATATTAAACATCTGCACCATATTTAGTATATCACGAAAGTTTCAAAAATATCTGCACCGTAACTGTTATATGTTATCTTTATTGTACAAAATAAGGGGAAAACTCGGGACAATTATCCTCAAACGATACTCACAATAAATTCTAGCTCCGAAATACACAGTAATTAATGTCAAAAACAAAATACAATTTCTCCTAATGCAATTTATTTCAACTCCACAACCATGAAGCCAAAAACACAATATTTATCCACCACACAACATTCAGTTCCAAACGCATGTTGTGTTGTTTGTATCCCTTTCTGACGGTACAAATTATTAATCATCCGAAACTGTCAAATCACGCTGTCATCCACCAAAATCACAGCAAATCGATTAATGGAAATAATAAACAAAGCACTGGGGTGAGAGGTGAAGCAGAAATAGTGAACCTAATTGAACGAAAACTTTCGCATCACAATACATACGCCTAACCTCTTTCACGGACCTACAGCAGAAACAATTCACATTACCACTCAGTCACACGATATTCAGTCAATCCAGGGACAAAACTATTCGTCCCATCCAAGTTTTCCATATGTCAATTCGCTGCGTGTCACAAAGAGATAACACACTTAACAGTAAATACAAACAATGATTACGCTACACTCAACTCACAACACTACCTGGTCGAGTGACTGACTCGACTCCGCTGCCAGCCGAGTTGCAGAGGCAATGCAACAGCCTCTGGTTGTAGTGGTTGGTAGTGGTAATAGTAGCAGGCCTAGTGCTGGTGTCCTTGATAGCAAGTCAACCTAGCCTAACTAGTGGCCACTACCTGCGTGAATAACATGCTTTGAAAAAACATTAACCGTTTACTAAAACCATCAACCATATTTCAATCGTCACAGGCAAAATTAGAAGGAATCCAAAGAATACTTGCTGAACACAGAACGTCTCCAACCTCGTATTATGGAAACTTGGTTTCGACTCGACCAGAATATCCATCATGTTCGAGAAATTACATGGCATTCCTCAGTCCCTACAGTAAAATGCTTGTAGAGTGTCATCATTCGACTCTTCATGTCTGAGCTACTGACAGTCGTTCCATACACCACAAATAAATAAATAAGCAAATACTACACTTAACTTTCCCGTGACTGATGCACGGTCTCGAGTCGACTAAACTGCTAATGGAATGCCAAGTCACAGTCTCTTATTAATGAACTGCACTATCCCAAATTTTGTTAGAGGCATTTGCTGCCTAATGGTTATACGCCACGACTCCGTTTTCCGGGACCGTGCGAACGCCCCCGACTCGGCGGCCAGACTCATCTAGCACCAAATTTAAAAAAAGTGAGTTTTTTTCAAATGTCTTCTGTGCTGTTATGCCGTTTGATCAACGTTTCGCAGGAACACACTGTCTCCATTTACAACCCAAAAGACAGAGGCAGTATGATTCTTCAAAATGTTGGCATCTACCAACAAGACGTCACAACCCTGAAGACCAACATCGACACCTTCACAGCCGTGAGAACCCCAAACAGCATCTGTGGATTGTTTATTTCTTGACACATTTAATGTCGCTGAATCAACGGCATTAATTATATAGACAATCTCCGAATGGCAGGATAATTATGAATAATGAATTAAGAAGGACGTACTTTAAGACACTATCCCAGCATTTTCCTGTAGGGACTAAAGAAAACCACGAAAATCCTGAGGACAGCCAGTCTCCCCGAATACATTCGTACTTGGGACCTCCAGTGTTAAAAATTGCATCAACACGTTCAGTAGAGAATTTTCGGTCGAAGTGATGGAAAAAGTTCTTTAACCTTACCCTGAATGATCCAAGGAAACAATAAAGCACCAAACCTTTGTACCCACTGATGGACGAGTCCACTTTAGGGTAGCAGAAGGGGTGGGTCTTCCATTTAAACTCTCTTTTCACAGAAATTCTACCTCTCTTTAAGTGACTAATTATGAAATGTGACTGACCAAGTAGTAGGACTTTTACCAAAAAGACATCAACTAACAAAGAACGCGAGGAAAGCGATGACGGGAAAATAGAAATATGATGTTATAAGGAAACAATCAAAAGACAACTGGGAGATGGGAGCGAAACACTAAAATGGATGTACAAAGTGGGGTTGTCGCAGCGACTGAAGTTGATGAAAGAACTAGAACTGGATACACCGATTATGGCCGCTGACCTTGTAGGGAGTGCCCAGTCCGCGGACCACTCAATGAAGGAAGGAAGGAAGGAAGGAAGGAAGGAAGGAAGGAAGGAAGGAAGGAAGGAAGGGGTTTTCGTCGGACAGTACAGTCTGTATCAGTGTAGAAGTTTAGGAGCCTGATAATTGTTGTCCTGTGACTGTGATGTGTTAACAACATGACACCTGTTCCTTGCAATCACTTTTCTGGTCACTGATAACGCCTCGTATCATAACACTCAGACAGACAAACCACCGACGTATTAACTGTACGACTCGTCACGCCGTTACAGTACGTAACGCCTAGTCACGCGTTGTCACGCTTGGACACGCCAAAACACACTTTTCAAATCTTCGTCGTATTTTAACACTTATGGTGACCTCTAGTCACGCCTTTATAGTAGGTCACACCTAGTCACGCTTTGTCATGTTTGGTCACACTTTGTAATTCTTCGTCACCTTTCGACACATTTGGTGATCCCTTGTCACAAGGTCAAATCAGGTCACGCTTGGGCATACGTGGTCACTAAGTCACACTTCGGCACGCTTAAGTTATGTTACGTAAGGCTCGGTTAATTTTGGCTACTTTGCAATAGGTTAAATTAAGTTTCGACATGTTGGGTTAGGTTAGGATAGGTTGGGTTACGTTAGTTCGGGTTAGGTTAGGTTAAGTTAGGGTATGTTAAGTTAGGTAAGTTTAGGTTATGTTTAGTTAGGTTAGGTTAGTTTGTTACATTAGGTAACGTTTTGAAAATATTTGTCACGTTTCGGCACTTATGGCCACATCACGTCACTCCGTTACAGTACGTCACGCGTAGTCACGCTTTTAAAGTCTTGGCGATTGGGTTAGGTTAGGATAGGTTGGGTTACGTTAGTTCGGGTTAGGTTAGGTTAAGTTAGGGTATGTTAAGTTAGGTAAGTTTAGGTTATGTTTAGTTAGGTTAGGTTAGTTTGTTACATTAGGTAACGTTTTGAAAATATTTGTCACGTTTCGGCACTTATGGCCACATCACGTCACTCCGTTACAGTACGTCACGCGTAGTCACGCTTTTAAAGTCTTGGCGATGAAATCGACTTTCCTGTGTTATATACCGTGGTGATATTTTATTTGGAGTGTACTGTACGTGGTCTGCTGCCATCCCTTCCAGCAAACGTCTGGTAAGTGACTCGTTTCGAGGTTCCAATTCACAAAGTTCAGCGGCCAAAAACGCTGGAACACAGTATACAAGCCGCGTCAGGTGGCTGAATGGTGAATAAACCATATCTTCTGCCAACGTTTCGAGAACAATCTCTGCTCCCATCCTCAGGGGTGTTAGGTAACAAATGTGTTTCTTTGTTGCGCGCTCGCTGATGCAGCAGCCCGGAGGATGAGAGCAGAGATTGTTTTCGAAACGTTGGCAGAAGATATGGTTTATTCACCGTTCAGCCAACTGACGCGGCTTGTAACCCGAGAATCTTTCATCAACTAAAATGGATACTGGGTAAGTAGGTTCTGAGGATGTGAGCTGCAATGAACTGATTCTGGAATGTAGGCTATGATAGAGGGAGCGGTAACGTCCCTAAACCTTAGTGTTCCACCAACAAAAATCTTGTAATTGCCTACTTAATAACTAGTCATGCTGGCAACAGGTTCATGGAGACTAAAAACGTGTGTTGTCGTAAGTACCGTTCACGTCTAGTCACAAGACTACGAAAAAAAAATCATGATATAAAACTAGCTAATGAATCCTTTGAAAATGGGGCAACACTAAAATATTTAAGAGAACGGTATAAACCGATACTGAATTAATGAAAAAATTAAGAACAGATTAATTTCTAGGAATGCTTTGTAACACGCAGTTCAGAATCCTTTGTTCTCCCATTTGCTACATAAAAATGTAAATATTAATCTATACTTTTACTTATTATTTTGTATGGGTAATCTTGGTCTCTTGCCTTAAGGGAAGAATACATGTGGAAGGCGAAAGAAGGCCGAGAAAATTAGAAAATGAGGAGCTCCACAATTTCACCAAATATTATGAGTAATCAAATATAGGAGGTAAGATGTCGGGTGTTCACGGTGGTGAGTATGAAGGAGGATAAGACTGGCGAGATGAGAAATAAGTTTATCAAATCCTGAAGGGAAGAGACCATCTGTGAAACCTGGGCACATATGAGAAGATGACACTCAAAAGCATCTTAAAGAAAGTGTGTAACGATGTGAACTGGATTCGTGTGGCACATGATAGGGCCAGTGGGAGGCTCTTGTGAACACGCTAATAAACCATCTTATTCCATATATGACAAAAACGGGGCACATAAAAATACAGCCACATTCAAACCAATTAATAACTTAAAACACGAGTTTATTATAACCGACATCAATGTAAAGAGGCAGGTTCTTTAAATAAACAGATAAGTAACAAGTGGACACTTGATTTACAGTATAGACTTTAAATCTGATGTAACAAAATTTACTTCTGTGATGTTTACCCACCCGTTTTCCTAGTCTTGGTCTTATCGCCCGATATTTCCTTGAGAACCTTGTTTTCAAAAGTTTCCACGCGTCTCAACCTTAAAAAACAAGTGATAAAATTACTGATATATTTGCATGCACGTGTGGGTTATTGATATTACTGAGAAATACTAAATTACGTAAGTGTATAACCCACGTAACACAATATGAATTATAAATGTATTTACATTAGTGTCTTGGAAAAACAGACACAAGGATTTCACAACTAAATAATAAGAGCTGCTTCGAAGTATCACTTATCTTTATTTCATAATAAATGTTATTTGTCTCTTTGGCGTCATTAATATTTTTCCGCGAAGATAACGGCATCGGTATATCAAACACATATCTGCAAGAAATCGACTTTTTTTAAGCAACAATTTCTTGGGGCTCCATTAACAAAATAGATGTAACATGGTGAGTTATAACAATTTGAAGCTGCATGTTTGTAGCCGGGCTAATAGTTTGTTACCAAGTCCACGCACACCTAAACCGACTGGTTCACCTAGTTTCACGGATTGCAACTACGTATAGGTACTGAATAGAAACTTGGTCACCTCTGGAACTGTCAGATCTGAGAGACTTATTTCGATACAATATAGCTCAAATTCGAGTTTCAGGGATTAAAACGTGTTTGCAGAAACTTGCGGAATATAAAGAATGCATCGGATGTAATATTCTGACCTTCTACTGCACTTTCTCCAGAGTTACACAGCTTTATAAGGGTATTTTTTTAACCCGACTGGTTTGTTTACTGGTATACCTCTGATACAAACAGATACTCATGGGGTTTTAACACATACAATTGCCATGAGGGCATGACATGGGTTCACATGTGACCCCCTTACGTGTTCGTATATTCACAGAACAAAGACGTCATGCCTGAAAGCCCATAATCCTAAAATTAAAAAAAGTTTAATCTCCAAACACCAGCACCTTATACTTACAAAAATAAAACAAAATAAAACATTTATTATACAAATAAATTGCAACAAGTTTGTGGCGATTGTTTTATTCAT